GGCAACCTGCTCCAGTATTCTTGCCTGGAGAATCCCCGTGGACAGAGGAGCCTGGTGGGCTACAGTCCATGGGGTCACACAGAGTTGGACACGACTGAGCAGCTAACACTTACGCTTTTCCATTATAGGTTATTACAAGAAATTGAATATAGTTCACTGTGCTTTACAGTAATCTAAATTTCTGCCAAGTTCCTTTTCCCTAGTAAGGCAACACATCCACAGGAGAGATATCAGAGCGGACGATATGGGGGCCTAAAATTTTGTCTATCTTGGGAATATCCTTGTCAACTGAGACAGACCAGATGACCTGAAAAGTAGATGGATTTGAAAGCTATACCCTTTTGGTGAAGGAGGAAGTGGTGTTCTTTTAGTATATCTTGTACCCAAACCACTGCAGATTAAAGGCACCCTTGGTGTTCAAACAACAAAACAAACCTTGCGTTTTTAGTATTGAGACATGAACTCTGAAAAGCAAGCTTAAGTAAATAAAGGAAACACTTTTGTCCCGTGGTGGAATACACCTGGATTAGAAGAGGAACAGCGGGACATGTGGCTGAGAACTCAGAGAGGGCCACCCAGCTCCGGGAACTTGCTGTGCTCTGGAGCAGTTTCAGCCTCTTCGTGACAAATGTGAGACTTGAAATGATGGCTTAGAAATCTGAATTTTTCTGGGAGTCTGGAAATCTGTGTAAAATCTCCAGAGTTGTTTGTTGTTGTTGTTGTTGTTTTTCAATGCCAACTAAATCAAAATTAAAAATAATAGCACCCAAATTAACATATTGGGTGCCTAAACTTGGCTTGCTGGCTGCCAGTTCGCAGTGTATAGTTTTACTCATAGTGAGTAAGGTGCATGTTTGCACCTTACTAGTGAGTAAGGTTTTTAATATGATACAAAATACTCAATTTAGGATTTGGTGTAGACAAAGATGTCAGATACTCCAATATAGAACTAAGAAATGTTTGGCTTTGGCTTCCAGATGCGAGAGTGAGCCTTGGTTATCCACTTTTGTTTTGTTTGTAAAACAAAGGAAGTAAAGCTCTAATGCTATTTCCTGAGGCTTTAACCTTACAGAAATGTTTAGAATGCCACTTTTTCTTGGGTGATACTCCTCAGGTTTCTGCAAGCAAAAGGGACCAGGGAAAAGTGTAATGAATTATACACTGAATTTGAAAGAGTATGAAGAACAGTTTGAATAATTCAAGTGTGGGTCCCAATTTGCGGAAAATGACTTTTGTTTTCTGAAATTGGGAGAATGTTCTTTAAAAACATGATTTATTTAAAGGGACAATTTAAATAGGGGCAATTTATTTAAAGGGACAATTTATTTTACAACGAAGTGCATGAGAAGGCACAGAAATTTCCTTCTACTGGTTGAGTTTGAGGTTCATAAGGTTTTTAATAATTGTCTATTGGGTGGAAACAGGTAAAAGGATGGTGGAATAGTTGACAGAACAGCTCTGAGTCAAACAAATAGAACTTTGAATTAAGGCTCTATCACCCATCAGTTGTGTGACCATTGGCAAGGTTATTTCACTTCTCTGAGACTCAGTTTTCTCTGTTGTAAAATGGGATCATTAACACCTAACTCAGAGGTGGTTGTGAAGATTAAGTGGACTGATGTGCTTAAAGCACCTAGGTTCTTCTTACATGATTCTAGATTGGAACACCCAGGATTTTATCAACCACTATCAATTCTCACACTGTGGATTTAAGAATGACCGAAGGTGTAACTGCCCATATGGGGCCAGTGTTTCTCTGTCCCTTGTTAAATGAAGCAATGAGGACATAAAGGAATGGTATAAATACAATTCAGACCCCGGATGGAAGCATCATCTCTTCTAAGCCTATTGCTGGCTTAGTTGTGGGTTTCCTCTTTCCCAGAAATTCCCAGCATGGAATACTGCTGTGGTTTCATAGCAACATTTTCAAATTTGTGCCCAAAGACCTGGATCCACACACTGCTTTTACAATACGCCAGCCTCTCCATAGGAACATGGTAAAGACACACACTATCTGAGCCTTTTGTATGAAATAGAAAATTAAGATATCTTACTGATGGTGGGCTTGAAAGGATTGCTGGAGGCAACATATATAAATACTATTGATGGATTAGGAATCCAAATGGTTAGCATTTTCTAGTATACCTGCTGGGCTGTTTTCTTTGGTCTGGCATGAGTAAGAGAAAAGCACAATTTGAAAATGACTTGAAGCACAAATGTGAAGGTGACACCCAGTCAGTACAGTCACTACTGAATCACTTAATGAATATTTATTGAGCATCTATACTGTTTCAGATACACTAGGTGTCCAGGATAAAAACAAAACACACAAAAACCAATGACACAGTGCCCGACCTCTGGGGAGTCAGGCTTTAGCTCTGGAGATAAACATTATAATGCCCTGTGATACGCGCGGTGATTCAAATTCTCGCAAAGTATTTTGGAGAGCACTGGGGCAGACTCTAGGAAGACACTTGGAATGAAATATGTTACGGTGTTTTTGCTGGAGGTTAGTATCCAGGAGATGCTCTCAAAGACGAAAAACAACTAAAACAAAATGTTTGTCTATTTGCTTTCTTGAACTTTAAGTTACATATTCAATGGAGTAATTCCATGGATATTCCCCCAGTTTTCCTACCTAAGGTCATCTTTCTAAAAATATTATATAAGATTTAAAATACAATTATATAAAAAAAGAAATTTGCCTGCCATAGCCCTAGGTGCCACAGCATATGGCCATGAGTTTATAATTGGTCAGAGCTGTTGCCTAGGTCAGGGTTACCATAACATTCTAAAACTGCTGTTGTGAATCAGAAAGTCCTTACTTAAAGATATTCCAGAAGGTGTGTTTCAGATTTGATGACTTGCGAAATACCATAAAGTATCTTAGTTAAGGTCAAGCTTAGAACTAGATTTCAAAGAAAACAAGTTAAATTTATGGTAACCCCTTCAATCAAAATTGAATGCTATTGCATATTCACTGTTTAGATGAGTAGAAAAATCAGACCAACAGCAGGCAAGTTAATTACATGGTTCTATTACTAATAATCTTTTATAATATAATGAAGAACAACTAATAAAATAATTTACTCTCAAAGAGATCATTAGCAGACATTTTATAATTACAAATAGGAGTTTTATAGCTATTAATGATAATGGATTGCAATGGGTTTAGAAACAATTGAAATATCAACATTTTAGAAATTATTTAACTTTTATTTATTAATGCACATTTTTTTAGCTTTCTATCCATTGCCTTTTCTATTATTATATAGACCTACTACAATTAAACATGAAGGAGCTTATTGAAAATGGCTTTTTTGAGTTTTAATAATCAGGAGACAGAAAATATATTCCCGGACCCTTGTTTTTAATTGATGTTGTCTATTTTCGTGCTCCAAAGGCCTAATGATGCATTAAGAGTTTTCCATTTTTGTTGGTTCGATTTTCTATTGAGCAACATTCCTGAAAGTAATAGAATGAAGTCGGGAGGGAAAAGATTGAAAACCGCCCAAGACTGACTACAGTTATGGAAATAAGCTTATGATGGGAAATAACTCAGGTCATTTTCATTTTTAGTTCTTATCAGAGATTCATTGTACTTATATATAAAACACAGAAATTATTCCATTATAAACTCAAAGCTATAGTTAGATCAGCATATTAAGAACCACTTCAGAGTGGAATTATTTTATCATTTTGAGTTATTTCCCTTATAGATGAAGAAATGCCAGTTGGGCCACAGATTACAGAGCATTGTAGTCTCTCCCTAGAAGAGTTAGCAATATGAATATTATTTTGTGAGGAATGAGATTTGGGAGTTGAGAGTGATCTTATTAGCACCAGACTCCCTTGGCTAATAATCTCCTGACTATGGGATCTATATTAAACCCTTTTCTATTTATATTCTTTGGCAGGCTCTTATTCATGGCTATTGTGGATATTTTGTTAAGTAATAGTTCTCTTGAGAAATCATGGGTGCTTTCTGAGGTCAAGATCTCCTGAGAGCTTAAACAGGGGGCTATACATCCTCTTTCCAGTTAGGAAGCCACTCTGTGCCCATTTGCTTTAACACATACTTGATTTGTAAGGTTTCTGACATTCCTTTCTTCCAAGAATTTAAGAATGATCTATTACTCTTTATTTTGTGAGGTAAAATTGATTAGGGAAAACAATAAACATAATTCTTTAAGCATGAAACCCAATATATTTTGAATACTTGCCTGGGCTACCATAGCAATCCTCGTGTGTTCATTCTCTAGAGACCGCTGGGCCATGCCAAAGGGGGCCTGGTAAACAGCCCTCACAGTATTTCTTATGCTGGAAGGAATTTCACCCTTGGCCTTTATTGTTATTGTTCTACTCTGACATGACAAAAAATCCCTCGCCTTCCAGACGCTGATACCTGCTCACTGCCGTCAGCTTGTTGCCAGAGGGAGGAAATCTACCAGTGTCGTGGTGGTGTTCTTTAACACCCACCTCAAGGTTTTAACGACAGGCATGGTTTAAAAGCAGAGTTGGATTAATTAGGCAGTGCTGGTGAGCAGAGGGCCATGTTTCACTAGGTTTCAAGGACCACCTGAAAGACAACTCCATTTCACAATCTGTGGGCTTCAATCTATTTCCAGACAGAGGTCAGCCTCAATGGATGAGGGGGCAATGTAGGGGAGTTGGTATTTGGTGAAAGGTAGATTTTAAAAGATATTAAGACTTCATTTCCCATCTTACCCTTACTACTAACTAGCTGTGGACCGCAGACAGGTTACTGTATTACTCTGGTTTGACGCTTTCTCTCTCGGGCACCCACCCAGAAGGATGTGTTGAATGTATGTCCGCCAAGTACCTGGTACCTTACAGACTCATCATGTAGAGTGAGTTCCATGCACTCACTTCTGACGGGTGCTCAGATTTAAATCAAATGTGTCCCTCCTACCTGTCCACACAGCAGCGCACTCGTGTCAGATCAGCCGGCAGACCAGGTAAGCCTTGCGCTCCTGCAGGTCGGGTCCTCAGTGAGCGGCGGCAGCCTCTCCTGGGTGCTGGTGAGAAACGCAGAGCCTTGGGCCCCACCCCAGACCTGCGCAGCGGGAAGCTGCCGCTGAGCCGGGTGACTGGGTGCGCATCGAGGTTTGAAGGGCGCTGTCGGTTCTCTCCGGACCTTGTGGATGTCGGTTCCCTGTGCTCTGCGTTGCGGGTGATTCTTCCGCGTCTCTTCGCCTCTTGCCTGTTGCTGGGGTGGTGTTGCGGGGATGGACAGCTATGCCTGGGGGTGAGGACTACAGCCCGTGACCCTGCACGTCCAGGGAACAGCCCCCAGCTTTGGGCCTGGCACAAGGAGACCCTCAAGCAATGTTTATCGAGTGAAACTGAGCTGCCAGCAGGCCGACTCCCCACGTGTGCCGCCGACTCGCCCGTGAGTGCCGCGGACTCACGGCAGCCCTCCGGGACCTGGAGAGCTACGCCGCTGGAGGCCACGGCCCGAGGCGCGGACGCGCCTGCCGGGGGCAGGGCCTTGCCCACGGCTGCTCCTGCCTGGAAGCGCGGCGCGGGGCAAGTCTGTCAGCCGTGTGCAGCCAGCACCGCGGCCAGGGAGAGCCCTCGCTTCTTCCCGAGCGCGGCCTGGCGTTCGTGCTCGGGGAGCACTTTTCTTTCGGTGATTGTCTTTCTGCTTCAGAGGGGACAGAGGAATGGGCTCGGTCCAGCGTACCGGCGTCATAGTTTTGCACATCTGCGACCCTCTGGCCTGCGTCTCAACTCTCTTCTCTATTGGTCTCGAATTTCCAAGTTGCTGCTTGACAGGCTGGCACGGGGCATGGCTGTGACGGGGGCTGGGGAGCTGATGGAGCCCCGAGGACGATGAGGTGCTGGACACAGCTCGCCGCCTTGGTTGCCGGGAGAGATCCACCGGGCTCCTGACGCTTTGGGCAGTGAGTTGTGTTGCATGATCTTGGGCAGATCAGATCTGTCATCTTCCTAATCTGTAAAACTGACAAATATACACAAGCCAGGCTTTCTCAGTGTGTGTGTGTGTGTGTGTGTGTGCGTGCGTTAGTCACTCAGTTATGTGACTCTGCGAATCCACGGACTGCAGCCCTCCAGGCTCCTCTGTCCATGGAGCTCTCTAAGCAAGGATACTGGAGTGGGATGCCATTTCCTCCTCCAGGGGGTCATCCCCACCCAGGGATCGAACCCGAGTCTGCTTTGTCTCCTGCATCGGCAGGCAGGCTCTTCACTTCTAGAGCTACCTGGGAAGCCCCGTATCGGTCTGTACCAGAGTGTATTTCAGTAAAGTTTACTCCAAGGCCCCTGGACCACAGTGGTCCATAATCTGCCTCCCCAGCGGGTTAGCGTCCTTAACACTCCCCTTTCCCCAGCTCCAAGGCCAGTCTTGGCGACTCTGTCAGGTCAAGGCACTTGTTTTTTGGAACCACCCCGCCTCACTTCCTGATGCTGCTGTAATCTTGGGAATCTGCTGAACTCACAGTGACCAGCGTCTTCCTCTTCAGCAGACTTCTTCTCCTTCCTTGCTGTACCATCTCTCCCTGGTCTCCTGTCCTTCGGTCAGCACTCTCATTTACCCACATGGCCCATCTCTGGATGGGACTTAGAAGAAAGCAGCCAGCTGAACACACATACAAAGTAGAATCTCCCCTAGTTCTTCTAAGGATGCTTCTGCTTTCTGGATGGAATCTGTATTCACAGGCACGCTTAGTCGCTTCAGTCATGCCTGACTCTCTGCGACCCTATGGACCGTGGCCCACCAGGCTCCTCTGTCCATGGGATTCTCCAGGCAAGAATACTGGAGTGGGTTGCCATTCCCTTCTCCATTATTCACGGGAACTTGCAACCAGCTGAGTGACTTTAGCACGCGGCAGATTTGGGGGGTAAAGGGGACATTGATCCGAAAGGTAGTTTGCCTAATACCGGCAGACAAATACCAGCGGTAGCAGACAGATGCCCCCATTTCAGTGACTTCCATGAAGTTAAACTTGATGTAAAATGGAGGTAACACTGTAAAGAGGACAGGCTTGGACTGGGGGCAGCCATGAGAAGGATTGCTCCAGGCGGTCCTCAGGGCCCCGGGCCACCGTCGGCCTGCTGTTTTCCACTCCTGCTTCCCTAGGTTGCTAGGGGACAGGAGAGAGACCATGGAGGCGGGGAGGTGTTCATGGGGTGAAGCTGGAGGAGGTACGCATGCTTTCTGCTCCCCTTCCACTGTCCAAAGCTGAATCGCGTGGTCAACTTTAACTGCAAAGGAGCTGGGAACTGCAGCCCAGCTGGGCGCCGGGCCTGGGGATCCATCCTTGCTGCTGTCCACCTAGGAACCGCCTTGTTCCTTTTTCCTTTTTCTCCTGCACCTCCTCGGAGAGGTTCAGCCTTCCCTCCTCCTCTTGAGAGGCAGCTCTTTTCAGGGAACAGCCCCCCTCCACCCACCTGAAGAACAAGAATAGAACCTTGGCATGCCTCACTTTGACGGTTGCCAACAATTAAGCCAGCCTCAGTTTCCTGCATTTCAGAAGGAAGTTTTGACAGTAAATTATTTGGGGTCATCATCTTCGCCCTGTGCTTTTGCAGTTTACTTGGTGGGAGCAGAGACTCACACAATTCCGCAGTGAGAGACATAGAGCTGCTTCTTACCCTGGCCACCGCAGACGGAACCTGAGATACACACGGGTTAAAAGATACACTCTGTCTGGAGCAACAGGGTCCTGCCTGCCGTATCCTGTCTGTGATTACAGTGTTTAAAGAGCTAGCCTGAAAATATAGGACAAAACGATGGTTTAACTTTTTTTTTTTAATTGGTGTGCTGGCTCTGGAATCTGCTGGATGACTTTGGACAAGCGGATCAGCCCCTCTGTGTCTCAAACTCCCTATTCTGTAAAATGGGACTAATCATAGTAGCTACCTCCTGGGCTGATGTGTGGAGTAGATAAGATAATGGATATTAAGTGTCTAGTAGGATATCTGGAACATAACAAATGTGCTGCATAAATATTGACTATTACTTTTCTTTAATGCCAGGAGGATTGGTATTTAGTTCAGGGGTTCCAAAGAAGAAATTACAAAGCATGTGGCCTTCTGTTACTGGAAAAGTGGAGTGAAGGTAGAAACTCTGAGGGCAGCATTATCTCCCTGCAGAAGGGAACATGCTGCTTTCAGTAGGTTCAATAGGTTGGAATCTAACTTTCCCAGGAGCACAGCTGATAAATGCCGCCTCTCATTCAGAAGGTACAGGAGCTCCTTCAAAGGGCAGGGATTCCGAGGTCTGGCCATGCACCCTGGTTCTACCCAGCTGTCCTTAGTGGGTGGTGGAGGCTTCCTCTGGGTGACTGCTTCCCTGGAGAGACGGAGACTTTGTGTCCCCCGAGTCAGAGCAAATGCTCCTCCTCCATAGAGCTCTCTTGGTGTTAGAGGTAACATGTTATATCCATTCTGAGCAATGAGTCTGTGTAGCTGTAAGAAAAAAAGCTTTCTTCTATGGTTAAAATATACATACATGCATGCATGCATACATGCATACACACGTAAGTGGAAGAGAAGAGCATGTAATACTGGTTCTGAGGAGATAAAGCAGTTGCAGTTATACACAGGATATGGATGTACCATTCTCTTTGCAAGCCAATCGCCTGGGAACTATTGGTGAAATACAGATCCTGACTCAGCAGGTCCTGGTGGGGCCTGAGATTCTGCATTTCTAATAGGCTCCATGTGATTTGGGTGCTTCTGATCTGGGACCACACTCTGAGTAGCAAAATATTGCATTGCTTCATTGTTGCTGTTATGTGTTTTGGAGAAAATGGGTGTGTGTGTGTATGTTAGTTGTTCAGTTGTGTCCAACTCTGTGACCCCACAGATTGTAGCCCACCAGGCTCTGCTGCCCATGGGATTCTCCAGGCAAGAATACTGGAGTGGATAGCCATTCCCTTCTCCAGGGGATCTTCCCGACCCAGGGACTGAACCTGGGTTAAAGGCAGCTGTTTGCCCCAGAATGGAGAAGCTGGGACTCTAGAATCGTGATTCACTAGATGTGATCTCAGCAATTCAGCCTCTGTACCACCTGGGAACATGTTAGGAAAGCAGAATATCACCCCACCCGCACTACCCCCCAACCCCGAAACACACACACCAGACCTCCTCAATCAGAGAGTTGGAGGCCAGAACCCAGCAGTTACTGTGTAAGACTCCTGAAAGTAATTCTGACAGGGTGAAAGTTTGAGAACTGTTGCACTAGAATAGTGGACTCTGGATTGAAAGTTCTGCTGAGGATGTACCAATCCTAAAGAATGGCTCTGGGTTCCCAGAGCACATCTCCCGGTCTCTTTCTGCTCAAACTGGATTCCTTAGGCTGTTGTGTCCTGGCGTGAAAGGATGGGATGTGGAGGAAGATGGCTCTTCAAAGGCTTAGCTTTACCTGTGCATCCTCAGTGATTGTTCTGCTTTCCTTATGTGCGTGCAGAGTTGCTCACTCGTGTCCCACTCTTTGTGACCCCATGGACTGTAGCCCACCAGGCTCCTCTGTCCATGGAATTCTCCAGGCAAGAATACTGAGGTGGGTTGCCATACCCTCCTTGAGGGGATCTTCCCAACCCAGGGATCACACCTACATCTCCTGTATTGGCAGACAGACTCCTTACTGCTGAGCCCTTTCCTTATGTGAGGATCACGCAAAACCAAATGTGTGCCCAGAATAAAGCTTGGGAAATTGTTTCAGGGTACAACAATTCCTTAGTGGCTCTGAGGCTCAGATATTCCTGTCGAGAACTTTCTTTGATTGTAGTGTTGGGATAAATAGGATGTCCAGACTTCCATGAGCCAGAGCGGTTTTCCACCGCACGGGACTTGCAGTGCTGACCCCAAGGTCTGGACAGTCCGTCACCCTGATTGCAGCCTATTGCGGGTACAGCTGCACAGTGTGAATCACTAGGGGGTCCTGTTAAAGTGCAAGCCCTGATTTGGTGCTCCTAGGTTGGAGTCAGGGAATCTGCATTTCCAACAAGTCCTTGGATGACGTTGCGCTGCTGATCTTTGTACCACACTTGGGTAGCAAGGCAGTGAGTCAGCCTTGGGGTTCCGGGTTGGCCTATGTGCAGATAAATCAGGGTGTCCCGTAGCCCCTCACACTGCAGGTGGGCTGCTTGGCCTTAACAAATTCAGAGAGAATTGTAGGACCATCTCCAAGGCTTCAGGGGCTTCCATGGTGGCTCAGTGGTAAAAAAAAAAAAACCACCGGAAACGTAGGAGATGCATGAGAAATGGGTTCAGTCCCTGGGTCAGGAAGATCCCCTGGAGGAGAAATTCCAGTATTGTTGCCTGGGAGATCCCATGGACAGAGACACCCGGCAGACTACAGTCCATGGGGTTGCAAAGAGTCAGACACGACTTGGCAGCTAAACAACAACCACCACCAAGGTTATAGGAGTGTGTGTTTGGCCTACATTTATAGAACATTAGTGCGCTTCCCTGGTGACTCAGTGTAAAGGATCCTCCCGCTAATGCAGGAGCCCTGTGTTCAATCCCTGGGTTGGAAAGATACCCTGGAGAAAGCAATGGCAACCCCCTCCAGTATCCTGGCCTGGAGAATTCCGCGGACAGAGGAGCCTGGAAGGCCCTAGTCTATGCAAAGAGTTGGACATGCCTTGCAACTGAGCGCACACACACATAGAATGTTAACAAATCATACATTTCTGGGCTGTAGATCTTTCACCCATCGAATCCAAATACTCTTTTAAAAAATTATTATTTACAAGGACAGGTGACTGCCGTTGACCCATGAAAAGAACATTCTCAAGTCAATTGATCTCGGTTCATGTTTGAGTACAACTTAATACTTTTCCTTGTTTGGGCTGAGCATCTGCAAAT